TTCATTTCAGCAACACTGAAAAGAACTTAATCTTCTTGCAAATATATTAAAAACTTGCTCAAATTATGCTAATTTGTAGTTTTGTAAAGTCTGACAAACTGATAAGGTAGTGCTAAACTTGTAAATTTGTTTATGGTATGATCTGTATGGTTTTAGTTTTTGTATTTTTTGCCATATAGTGGTCCTTTATTTGTGGTACACATTCAGTAAATGCTAATAAAGTAAAAAACTAAGTAATAATTTAAAACTAAGCAATAATTTAGAATCTGGAGCTGTGTGAGAAAGAAGTGTATATGGGATGGGAAATTATTTTCTCAGTTATTTTCTTGAAAATGAATACTTTTTACATCGCCTTCATATTGTAACAAATAGAAAATTCATTAGTGAATTAATGAAACAGGTATCTGCCCCTCCTTTCCTTACCTGTAACTATTTTTTTCTTTTTCCTTTTATAAACTTTATATACCAGCCAGAAAATAAGAAAAATTACTGAAGTTCTCGCAACATGTGGTTCCATTATTGAAAACGTGTAGCTGGTATATTTATGAGTAAATGTACCTTTATATTCAGCATAACAATGTGTATGCAAGAAGGGCAAATCATAAAAAAACATTGTGCTTATAAAATCATTTCCAGGATACTGGTCTCCTTTCTCTTCACCGTTAGTGACACTAGTTTTCCAGTGGCTTCGCCATTTCTAGACACTTATTTTTCTAAATATGCTCATGGAAATTAGAGGGTGAGCTTTTCTTATTAATCAAGGATTAATCATTTGAATGTTTTATTGTAAATTCTGATCCAAAGGTATTATTAAAAGATACTAGAGGAATTATTTTGTGGTGTTACCTAAGAGGCCAGTGTTTCTGTAGAAGGATGAACATTTAGGGAATAACAGGATTATTTGAAATAACGGGAGCAAAAGTAACAAGCTGTTGTTGGAGATTTACAGATTTTTTAAAAATCTGTAGTTTCTGTGTCTTTTTTCTTCCCTTTTTCCACCTCAGTTCATTTGCTGAGGAGACCGAGCTGTAACTCCTGTTTTATCTCCCACACTCTGGTCTTATAATTGTATTCTTTGCACATAGTTCAGTGTGCAGTGTGCCTGCACTTCCTGTAAGCTGACAGTTGGATCTTCAGGCTTGGTCACATTCAGGGCCAGGTTGTGTTGTTTCTGTGTGTTGCTTGGATGAGTAGAGCTGGAAGAACACATGAGGTTTTGCTCTTCCTGTTGGGAAGAGCAGTCATCATCAATCCTGCTGAGTCATTACTTTATCACATGTTTAAAAAATAGTGATATAATTTTTATCATTCATTTATTAACTATTTCCATAATCTTTATATATACATGTATCATGTCAATGTGTATCTAAAGATTAATACACATTAAGCTTGGATTTCAGTGAATGTTTGCATTCCAGCCATTGCTTAGGATTTCTCTGTCCTTTTAGAGGTGTCTGCTGAAACACTGAAGTAAACATAGGGGAATATTACGGCCTTACTTTGCTCTCAGAGAGATTTAATGTCTAAGCTAATTTACTGAACTATTTGTCATTCCTTATCATAACACTTGTTTTTCTGAAAAATATGTCAGAAGTTGGAACTGTGATTGGACTGAGGAGCTGACATTGTTTTCTAATGCTTTTGAGTTGATAGCTCTCACAATGTTTCAGTGTCTAACACAGAACAGGGAAGAGATGGAGAGATCCTCCTTCCTTTTGTGGATTCTCTCCCCAAATGACCTCAGTGGTCATCTGAACAACTAACGTAATATGTGTGGGCCAGGTCTGAGGACAAGACAGGAAAGGTCAGTCTACAGCACACACTGGCACAAGTGGGAACAGGATGGGTTACTGGCAAGACCAAGCTGTGCTGCAACACCTCCTAGTTCACATGAGTGGTGGGGTTGGGAGTGGGCCAAACTGGGCCGCAGAACCTGCTGTCATACATAAGACCCAAGACTGGGAGCCAGCCTAGTAAGGGAACCTCTGGGATGTTCCTGCTGGGCCATTGATGAGATGAGAGCTGAGCCTGGGGCAGGGTCAGGCTGGCCTAGGTTGCCACACCCACAGTACCTCCTGGCAGATGCAAGATCTATGGTTGCATGCCTGGCAGGAGAGCTATGTTGCTGCTCCCACTGGTGATCACTAGAACCAAGGCTGATGTGGGCCAGGCTAGGTAAGGCAGCAGCACCAGTTGGAATGCTGGTGGGTTGGGCTGTAAAAGGCTGCGGCATCCATGGATGTGCACAAGACCAAGAGCCAGATGGGATTTAGGCTGGGAGCAGGCCTGGTGGGGGCTATTGAGGTCACCCCCACTAGCCCACAGCACACGACAGTTTGTGTTGGGCTTGGGTCTGTGGTGGGCTGACTCAGCTGAGCAATAGCACCTTTTGCTTGGTGTGAGAAAGGGAGTTAAACTGAACTGACCAGGCAGCTGCTTGCACCAGTATGTGCGTTAGCTGGTGCAGTGATGGACAAAGCCTGACTGCACTGGCTGACACATACAAGAGTCATGTCTGAAATCACCCCAGGCAGGATTTCTTGGGGGACTCCCCAGTTACACTGGACTCAAAGCCTGACCACAGGGGAAATAACGGATGTGTGGTCCAACCTTGGATTGCATGTATCAGGACTAGGCCTCTTCAAGACCACTTGGGTCACACCCCAGAACACTCTTCCCCTTATCAGGGCCTCTAAGGCCACATCGAATGACCATCCGCCATCCTTGGGTTTGACATCCCTGTGGTTTGGGAGCATGGGGAGCTGCCGCCTCCCCTTTCTCTGTGGTCACAGAGGGGAAAAAAAAAATGGAGACATTTGTCCCACCCACCTTCCTCCATTCCTGACCCTCCACACCCTAATTAGAGGCCCACATGAATGTGTGTCCCTCTCAACTGTATAAACAGTATTAAGAAGGAAATTAATTTAAAAAGAAAACTAACCTGACAAGATAGATAAACGCATTAAGCACACCTCTGCATCATTTGAGTCAGGTTCTTGAATGGATGGGATTTGAATGTCCTAGACGTAGGAATAAGAATAAGCAGAGATTATCCTGTGATCAAAAGCAGGAAATAGGAAGGAAGAGGGGGAAAGGTGACTGGCACACTGACTAGATTGGAAGCTTAGTTTGGCAAAGAGAAGATGGAAAGAAGGGTGAACGACATTACTGGAAAATGAGCAGATGTGCCAGGATTGTCTCATTATTCCTCTACCAGCTTTTCCACAAGTTTGCTGCTGTATGGTAGGGTTCATTCCTTTGCACAAAACTCTGTCCTGGACTTGGCGCAATAGTTCAACTGGTTAAATCCTTGCCTTGCATGCGCCAGGATCCTACGTGGGCGTTGGTTCATGTCCCGGCTATTCCACTTCCCAACTGGTCTCTACTTGTGGCCTGGGGAAGCAATGAAGAATGGCCCAAAGCGTTGGGATCCTTTACCGAACAAAACAGCAAACTGTCCTGCTATGAGTCGTGGGCATCCTTAAGTCCCAGGTCAGAGCTCACTTCTGAAGCATTCCTTGTATGTGGTGCTTGAACTCCAAACTTAAGTGCTTTTAAATAAGATTAAAAGACATTCAGTTAGCATTCTGAAGTAATAGTCACAAGTATGTTAAGTAGCCCTGGATACTTCACCTATGAGATTTAGTGAAGCAGAAAATGCTTACTAAATTTATAAAGTTAGTTTGACTCCTCTATCCCCTACCAAGTAATAAGGATATTAGCTATAGTACCTGGTGTTGTCGTTGTGCTAATAATTTATTAAAGAATTTTTTAAAAATAAAGACATTATCTCAACCCTTCTATGTTGAAACAGTTGCAGTCTTCGTTGTTTTATTATAACATGACAAAATGTTTGAATTGGTAAGGCCCAAGCACTTGGGCCATTTTCTGCTGCCTTCCCAGGAACCTTGGCAAAGAGCTAGATTGGAAGTGGGGCAGTTGAGATTTGAGTTGGTGCCCGAATAAGATGTAGAAATTAATTTTAATAGAGAGAAGCTTCATATATTTGTCTCCTTCACATTTGAAATTTGAATTTGCCGTTAGAATTTGAAAATGGAGGACAGTTCTTAGAAGTATAAACTTGAACTATTTGCAATAATAACAACTTTCAATCACGACATAGTCTTCTTTTTTAAAAAATGTGTTTTATTGGGCCCGGCGCGGTGGCGCAAGTGGTTAAAGGTCCTCGCCTTGCACGCCCGGGATCCCATATGGGCGCCAGTTCTAATCCCGGCAGCCCCGCTTCCCTTCCAGCTCCCTGCCTGTGGCCCGGGAAGGCAGTCGAGGACGGCCCAAAGCTTTGGGAACCTGCACCCGCGTGGGAGACCCGGAAGAGGCTCCTGGCTTCGGATCGGCATAGTATCGGCCCGTTGCGCTCACTTGGGGAGTGAATCATCGGATGGAAGATCTTCCTCTCTGTCTCTCCTCTCTGTACATCCGCCTTTCCAATGAAAAAATAATAAAAATAAATCTTTTTTAAAAAATGTGTTTTATTGAAGTTTGGTATGTACCTCAAATTGTTTATGAAAGTATACTATATCTTGATTATGAAGTTTACTGGTTTAATAGTCAAGTAGAGTAACACTGGGCCCTTAAATATTTTATGCAGCTTGGACCGTCCATTGGTCTCTATACGTGATCTTTGTTTTCTGAATAAATTGCAATGAGCAGGAAGTGGTAAAATGGATGTTGAGCCGAGTGCTCCCCCAGCATGACTGCCTCCCCTGTGGAGGAGGCCCTAGGGAACGCCATGGTCACACACTGTGTGCTCCCCCAGCATGACTGCCTGCCCTCCCCTGCACTGGAGGAGGCCCTAGGGAACGCCATGGTCAGCACGCTGGCGTGGGGTCACTGGGACAGGACTCTTCTTCCGTTTACCCTGAATGTTGAAGATGCATTTCTCTTGTCAGGACTTCAAATGGCAAGTTGAGTAAAATTCTTACATCTTGATTTAAAAGATGTTACCATTAACACTGTTGATTCTCTCTGTTTCTTCTCAGGACCCCAGAGCAGTGCCCCAGTGTTGTCTCTTTGTTGTCAGAGAGTTACAACCCTCATGTGCGCTATGGAGCCGCCCTGGCCTTGGGGATCTGCTGCGCGGGCACAGGAAACAAGGTAAAGCCCATGCCAGCAGGCTTGCTTCTTTCCTGGCGCCAGACTGTTTTCCCGCACAGGAAGGTTTATGTAAGCACTGTAAAAGTGCAAGAATAATGGGATCTGTATGGCTGAGCTTGCCTCACAGCTTCCCCGGGCTCTCTGCTTTCCAGTGCTGCACAGGCCAGAGCTGAACAGTGCGTCCATGACATGGGTAGCTGTAATGTCTCTGAGCACTGCTCCTGGGTTTCTAATTGAATCTTTGAGTGCTTGGGGGAAGAAAGGAGTGACTTCTGTTTGAAAGGCTTGCTCTGGTCTTTCTACACGTGCAGTTTGTATAATTAATATTAGAGAAATCAAAGCTGTCACCTCAAGCCACCGGAAACTACTCCGACTTGAAATGTTTCTGCTTTAAGCAAATCATCTGTAATCTTATACTTATCCTGGTTATGTTCAGTCCTCAAAAATTACAAAATGAAGAGCTGGGTTAGGCAAGGTGATTTGGAATTATAATTTATCATGAGATTCACTGTGAAGCACACTGTTGCTTCCATCACAGGTTTTCTGGATTCCAGCTGTGACGTGACCGTCACTCTGACTGTCACAGCGTGCACACGCACACCGTGGCTGTTCGCCACAGGTGGACCTTTCCTTGAACAGAATACACAAACGAGCATGCAAAGAATATTGCTTATGTTTTTATAGAGAAATTAATCACTTTTTCATCATTGTAGAATTTCTTACATGAAAATGTCTTTATTAAGTGTGGAAGATGTAAATTATAGAAATTGACTTTTATTTTTCCTTAGGACATACTTGTTCTGTAAACAAAGAAAAATGTAGTTGGATGCATTATTAAATATTTTCCCCCTCATAACTTAAGTTGATGTTAATGTCCAGCCTTATAAGTTACACGTAAATTACCTTTTTTTATATATATCTAGAATATTCTGAACATACCATGAAGTCTAGGAACAAATGTTCTTTAAAATAAAGTACCTGACAAGTTAACTTAAAAATTCTTATTATTCCTACTAAAAAAGAGTCTGTTTAGTTTCTAGAAAATTTTTGTGATCTGAGATTTTATGCTTTGATTATTTTTATCTCAATTCATCATGTTTTCTCTGATAATTTGCTTACAACATCTTTTATCTCAGAAGAGTGCTCGAATTCTAAACTTTCTCACTTTACATCAACTAGATTGTAGCTTAAGTAGAACAAACTCAGTTCTGAAATATTGTATGAAGCAGTCAAATTAACATGTCATTACACTGGTATATGAAAATGCTGACTTAAAGTAGACAGTAAGTAATTTGAAAATCCAGCCATGTCAGTGTTATTTATTTCAAACTTTTCCCCCCATGACTTCCAGGAGGCAATTAACTTGTTGGAACCCATGACCAATGACCCTGTGAACTACGTGAGGCAAGGAGCACTCATCGCCTCGGCACTCATCATGATCCAGCAGACTGAGATCACTTGTCCAAAGGTGAGCAGTGCTTGTTTAAGTGCATGGTTGAGCCCAAGGATCCAGTCCATGGAGTTACCTACCCAAACTTTTGTGCCTCCTATTGACCTCTAACAGTTTATTCAGTGGGATAACGTGCTCCTTTGATGGAGGAAGTATACTTGGGAAATCCATGACTTTGAATTCATCCTTCTGAAAATAGAGGGTTTTCCAGCACTTGGTGTGCTACCTGGAGCCTCGGGTAGGATTCAGCGCGTCCACATTCTTGGTGCCGTGGCCTCCTGGTGATCTTCCAAACCAGGCTTCCCTTTTACTCTAGCATGGCTTTCTTCCCCATTTCCCCACTTCTGTTCCACAGAAGCAGACTTTCCTATCTTATCCATCTTGTGGATGGGAGTGTCCTTTCCGTACGGTTGCCTCTGCCAATAGCCAGTGCAGTCACTTATTTTGATGTCAGCACCCAGTGACCAGAGCACCCAGAGTGCTCCAGATGGTCCCTCACAGCCACCTGGCTTTGGGGAGGGAACAAGGCCACAGCCAGGGGCTTGCGGAGGTCGTCCCCACATTCTCCACCAGGCACTCCAGGAAGGATCCCTGATGGACTCTTCAGGCTCCTGATGTAAAGCTTTCCTGTGACAATCTCACAAACTCATGTAGTTTTGATATTCAGTGTGTCTTCACACTTCAGACAGAGTTTCTGATTCTTACAGGAAGCAGAAAAGCACATATATTATACACATTTACTGAAACTGCCGCAGTTGTTACGTGACATGGGTAGTTCCGGCACTGATGCCAGATGTCCTAACTGCTGCCTTGAAGGTAGGGCATTTAGTAGGCTGGTATTCCCTCTACTCATACAGGAAAATGAAGCTGACTATGTAACACTTTTCTTTTGTTTTTTTTGTTTTGTTTTGTTTTTTTGAAATTTATTTGAAAGAGTTACACAGAAAGAAAAAGGGTACTTTTACTCACTGGTTCACACCCCAAATGGCAACAACCAAGAGCTTCATCCATATCTTCCACAAGGTCCAAACAGTTGAGCAGTCTCCTGCTGCTGCTTCTCCCAGGCCATTAGCAGGGAAATGAACTGGAAGTGAGCAACAGACATGGACCAGCATCCGTCCATATGGGAAGCTGGCATTGTAGGAAGTAACTGTCCTTGTTACGCCAACAACACTGGCCCTAGAACACTCACTTGTAGGAAAGTATATTTTTGGAGAGGTAGAAAGGACATATTTTTAAGACTTGTTTATTTTTTGGAAAGGCAAATTCACAGAGAGAAGGAGAGACAGAGAGAAAGATCTTCCTTCCACTGGTTCACTACCCAAGTGGCCACAGTGCCTAGAGCTAAGCCAATCAGAAGCCAGGAGCTTCTTCCAGGTCTCCCAAATGGGCTCAGGGTCCCAAGGACTTGAGCCATCCTCTGTTTTCCCAGGCCACAAGCAAGGAGCTTGAAGGGAAATGGAGCAGACAGTACATGAATTGGCCCCTGTATGGATGCCAACACCATGGGAAGGAGAATTAGTGTATTATGCTACCACGTTGACCCGTTACTATCATTTTTCATTTATTCCGATTTAATGTACCTTTATCAGAATCATTTTCTCTTTTTTTTTCTAAATATTAATTGATTTTTATTTGAAAGGCAGATTTACAGAGAGAAGGCATAGAGAGCAGGCCTTCTTTATGCTGATTCACTTCCCAAATGGCTGCAACAGCCAGAGTTGAGCTCATCTGAAGCTTCAGGTCTTCCGTGTGGATACAGGACCCAAGGACCTATGCCGTCCTCCACTAATTTCCTGGGCCATAGATAAAAGCCATATCAGAAGTGGAATAGCTTGGGCACAAACAAGTGCCCATATGGGATGGCATCATCACAGAAAGGATTAGCATATTATGCCACCACATTGGCCCCCAAAATCATTTTTAAGACTTAGCAAAAACTGTGAAGATAGATTCACTTTCCAGCTTGTTGTTGTCATACATTATTATACTATATCCTCTAGATCATAAACATAATTTCCAACCCCAGACCTCATTTCTGTTAGTGTTTAAAAATAATAGCTGTTAGGGGCCTGGCATGATGGCTCAGTAGCTAAAGTCCTCACCTTGCAAGCACCGGGATCCCATATGAGTGCCAGTTCGTGACCCAGCTACTACTCTTTCTGTCTCTCCTTCTCTCTGTAAGTCTGACTTTCTAATAAAAATAAATAGATCTTAAAAAAAAAAAATGGGCCCAGTGCGATAGTGTAGTGGTTAAAGTCCTCATCTTGAACACGCCAGGATCCCATATGGGCACCAGTTCTAATCCCGGCAGCCCCACTTCCCATCCAGCTCCCTACTTGTGGCTTGGGAAAGCAGTTGAGGACGGCCCAAAGCCTTGGGACCCTGCACCCACATGGGAGACCTGCAGGAAGTTCCTGGATCCTGGCTTCGGATTCGCTCAGCAGCGACCGTTCTGGTCACTTGGGAAATGAATCATCAGATGGAAGATCTTCCTCTCTCTCTCTCCTCCTCTTCTCTCTCTCTTCCTTCCTCCTCCTCTCTGTATATCTGCCTTTCCGATAAAAAAAAAAAATGAATCTTTAAAAAAAAAAATAGTTGTTGAAGCCAGCATTGTAGTGTAGTAAAGCCACCACCCACAATGCTGGTATTCTGTTCATATCGCAGCTGCTCCATTTCCTATCCAGTTCCTTGCCAATGGCCTGGGGAAAGCTGCAGCAGTTGTCTGAAGTACGTGGGTTTCTTCCACCTATGTGAAAGAACTGGATGGAGCTCCTGCTTGACTTCATCCTGGCCCAGCAGTGGCCATTGCAGCCGTCTGGGGAGTCAACAATTGAGGTCAGCAGTGTGGCATAGCAAGCTAAGCCTCCACCCCATAGTGCCAACATCACATATGGGTGCCAGTTATAGTCCCGGCTGCTCCACTTCTAATTCCACTCCTTGCTTATGACTTGGAAGGACAGCAGAAAATACTCCCAAGGCCTTGGGCCCCTGTACCCAAATGGGAGACCACTGCTTTCCCAGGCCATAATCAGGATGGTAGATGGGAAGTGGAGCAGCTAGGTCACAAACCAGCACCCATATAGGTGCCAGTTTTAGAGCCTTCTGCTCTACTTTTGATTCCTGCTAATGCACCCATGTGGGAGACCCAGAAGAAACTCCTGGCTTCTGGCTTCAGCCCTGACTCTGGTGGCTATGTGGGGAGTGATTCAGCAGGTAAAAGACTTCTCGTTTCCCCCCTACTGCCTCTCCGTAGCTTTGCCTTTTAAAAAAAAAAGATTTATTTATTTTTATTGCAAAGTCAGATATATAGAGAGGGGAGGAGAGACAGAGAGGAAGGTCTTCCATCCAATGTATCACTCCCCAAGTGACAACAATGGCCAGAACTACACTGATCTGAAGCCAGGAACCAGGAGCTCTTCCGGATCTCCCACAGGGTCTCTTGCAGGGTCCCAAGGCTTTGAGCCATCCTCCACTATTTTCCCAGGCCACAAACAGGAAACTGGATGGGAAGCAGGATGGGCTTCCAGGATTAGAACCGGTGTCCATATGGGATCCCAGTACGTTCAAGGCTAGGACTTTAACCACTGGACTCAGCTTTGCCTTTCAAATAAATGAACAATTAAAAAAAAAAAAAAAGGAGGGGGTGTGAATGCTTTCTTTGTCAAATATTTTACAACCTAAAGCATGGGTACAAAGAATCTCTCCCATAAAAAAATGTGAAGTGGCATCACCTTCTTTGTAGATCATAGATATACTTTGTAGTGTCACACGTGAGTTTTTCTCAGTTGAGTCATTCCCTGTATGCCTGCAGTGTCTAAGGTTGGGGCTAGTCTGGCCTAAACCAGGAATCAGGAACTCAGTCTAGTCTGTTTTGGAGAGCAAGGCCGTCACCTGCTGCCTCCCAGCGTGTGCTTCAGCAGGAAGCCAGACTCAGCCCAAGACACTTGGGTATGGGTGAGGGACCCAGGTGGCATCTTTAATTGCTGTGCCAAGTACCTATACCAGTAATATCTTGCTTAACCAATTTAGGTCAGCTTCTGCAATCCGTAATAACTCACAGTTTGGGTTAGGTTGTTAGACATTTTTTTTGGTCGACCATTGTGATTACCTAGAAATATTTCTGTAGGGAAGTGTAAATTTTATAAAATGAAATTATAAACATAGAATTTTGTATTGTATTCTTATAGCCTAGCACATTTTTTAACCATACTGTGGCCTTAAAAATAGGAACTTGAGATCTTAATAGTGCCAGGGGTGAGAAAAATTAAAAAAACTGCAAGAAATTGCCAGAAACAAAATAATGCTAATAGTCTTGAGGAATAAAATGAGGCCATCATCTTACAAGGAAATAATGACAACAGCAATATGTTCGGTACAGTGGCCTCAGTTGTAGCTTGGGAAGCCTGCCTCCCTTCTGAGAATTCCTGGAATCATTACTGACTGCTCTGCCTCCAGTCCAACTTCCCACACATGCGCATAGCTGGGCAGTGAGATTTGGAGCTAGCCATAGAGAATTATAGCAATTCATTGGGCCCGGCTAAATCCACGCCTTGCAACCAACAGAATCCCATATGAGTAAGGTTCATAACGCAGCTGTTTCAGTTTCTATCCAGCTCCCTGCTTGTGGCCTGGGAAGGCAGCTGAGGATGGCCCAAAGCCTTGCACCTGTGTAGGAGACCCCGCGGAGGCTCTTGGCTCCTGGCTTTAGATGGGTTCAGCTCCTGCCATAGCAGCCACTTGCGGAGTGAATCAGTGGATGGAGGCTGTTTCTCTCTGTCTATCCTTCTTTCTGTATATCTGCCTTTCCAATAAAAAATAATAAAATAGATCTTCAAAAAAAAAAAAAAAAGAAAGCAATCCACAATCTCTTGAAATTACAAAACTCCAAAACTTGTAATTAGAAAACTTGAAAAAAATACTCGTGTATTTTGCTGATTCAATATATTAGTCTGTGTGATTATAGGGACTTGCCCCACACCCCACTGGGAGCATTATGTAGTTCATGTCATATTTTTGCGTTAATTTTTAAAATATATTGTTCAGTTTTACTGAATGCATTCCTATTGTCTGTCTTAGGTATAATTTTTTATCTATATAAATTTTTATTTTGACATTCTTTACATAGTTAATTAGGGTAAGAAGGTTCAAGGGCTACAGGAAAGTGGATAATACTAGTATGTTTTCCATATTGTTACCTTCATGTTTAAAGGGGGGTATTAAGGGAGAAGGCCCACCCAATTTCCCACCCTCCCCAGGTCCCGGATGTAGGGCATGCTCTGAGGTTCTTGCTCAAGTGGTTTTGATATTGCAACTGTTATGAATTGCTGTCAATCTTGCCACTCTAAGCACTATGCGGTCTTTGAAAAATCCACTGATTGACATAGTCCACCATAGCTGAGATGGTTGGCTGACCTGTTCTGTCTTCTCTCTTTTCTTCATTAGGATTCTGAGTCCAGCATTTAGATTAGGAAGATTAGGTATAATTTTATATTTAAATTTTTCTCTATGCTGCTTGCTTTGTCCAGTGTTGTAAGTCTTAAGCACGTGAAACTTCCATCCTATATAAGGTAAAGTAAGTGGTCATCTAAAATAAGTTCAGAATCAAAAGAATTTAACCTGTTGAACCCAAAGTAAAAGAAAGCATCAGACCTTAAGATATTCTAAGCTAGCAGAGACCTATCGTTGTAATTTAATCACACTCTGTTTTATGCTTAAATTAAGACCTGGAGAGGTGAGTGACTTAAAAATTGTCATGTGCCTTGTAGTTGCAGAGTTAGTTCATTTGTTTCTCACGCTGGGATTCCATATGGGCGCCGATTCTAATCCTGGCAGCCCTGCTTCCCATCCAGCTCCCTGCATGTGGCCTGGGAAAATAATAGAGGATGGCCCAAAGCCTTGGGACCCTGCACCCGCGTGGGAGACCTAGAGGAAATTCCTGGTTCCTGGCTCCTGGCTTCAGATCAACTCAGCTGCGGCTGTTGCAATCACTTGGGGTGAATCTTCGGACGGAGGATCTTCCTCCTTGTCTCTCCTGCTCTCTATATATCTGACTTTGCAATAAAAATAAATCTTAAAAAAAAAAAAAAGGATATGGCAAACCAAAATTACAAGCCATCCCACCCTATATGAGTCAATACATTCTCAATTTTGGATCAGTCCTTGGAAATTTGATCTGTGTAGAACATGAAAAATCTCCGTATGAGAATATACTTAATCCAAAGTGTGTCTCATGGAGCTTTGGTGAAGGATAGTTTACTTTAACATGGAAATGAAGGATTATGCTTGTTAGGAAATCTGCAAGGTTGTTGCTAAGCAGCATGGCTGTGATTCATAGTACAACAAAAGACTTAGTGTTCGCATGGACTGTTAGTTCTGCTGGACTAACAGTGGAGCGATGTGTAGTCACGTCCAGCATTCCCTTGAGCCTGAGTCATCTGCTGGAACGAGAATGGAAAACAGAACTGGTACCCCACACCATGAGAGTCTTAACACCCATGATTTCAACCACGAAGCAGTCCTGCTTTCAAGTGTGGCTTTGTGAATGAAGAACTGAGTCACTCAGTGTTTGACAGTCTGTCTGTATCTACTGCTCTAAAATGGCACAACTGGATCAGAGTGTAACTCTTTGTCTTCCTCTTCCAGGTGAATCAGTTCAGACAGCTGTACTCCAAAGTCATCAATGATAAGCATGATGATGTTATGGCCAAGTTTGGCGCCATTCTGGCCCAGGGCATTCTGGATGCAGGTAACTGTTTTCCCATCAGGCATAGGGGTTTATTTAAACTGAACCGAATCAAATAGTTACTGCAGTGCACTAATGGTGCCATAGTGGAGCATATGAGCATATATGGAGGCTGCAGATCCTAGAGGTGGTTTTTAGTAGAATTTTTCAAGCTTTGGATGTCAGTCCCCTTACAGTGCCAATCGCTAACAGGTGTTTCAGAACATCATGGAGGGGCCAACACCTCAGCATGGCAGTTGAGGGCATCAGCATCCCAAAGGGCACCAGTTTTGAGTCCAGGCTGCTCCACTTCTGATCTATCTCCCAGCTAGTGTGCCTGGGAAAGCAGCAGAGGGTGTCCCAGTGAACCAGTAGATAGATGTTGCTGCCCTCTGTCTCACCCTCTACCTTTCAAATAAATCTTTTTAGAAAAGGAAAGAGGGTTTAGTACAGTAGCCTAATGGCTAAAGTCCTCACCTTGCATGTGCCAGGATTCCATTTTAGCATCGGTTTGTGTTCCAGCTGCCCCACTTCCCTTCCCTTCCCTGGCCCAAAACCTTGGGACCCTGCTCCCACATGGGAGACCCAGAAGAAGCTTCTGACTCCTGGCTTCAGATCGGCTCAGCTCCAGCCATTGCAGCTACTTGGGGAATGAATCAGCAGATGGAAGATGTTTCTCTCACAGGTGTAGAATCTGTGTAAATCTGCCTTTTCAATAAAGATAAATAAATCTTTTTTAAAAAGGAAAAGAAATTACTATGTGTGAACTCAAAATACTAAGAAAATTCAAGGGCCGGGTAGGCCCCCTTCCTGACCACTTGACCGAGTGACAGGCATATTGTAACTGCTTTCTGTGTGTCTGTAATGCTCCTCGCCCTAGAGGCAGAGGGTAACGCACTCTACTGTCTGCGTCTTTTCCATTACACCGTGACCTGTTGCAAAAGCTAAAACAGTGTCCTTTATAGCATCTTGTGCTCAGATTCAAACCGTCATTTGCCAACAGGAAGAGAGAGCTTTTTAGGTAAGGTGAATTTCCAGGCGTCCCATAGCTCACTAAATTCAGAACTGCCACCTGCCCGTTGTTGTGATTCACAAATCCCAGGGCAATGTCAGTGCTTCGTTCCACTTCTCTATAGTTGAACAAAGTTCTTTATACTTTCTGTTGTATTTTTCTCATAATTTTAATAATTTTTATATTGTTTATTGTCTAAAAAAGAATCAGGAAACATTCTTGTGTATTTTAACAAATGCGTGAGTATCTTCCTGCGTTCAGACAGCATGATTAAACTGGAAAATAAAACTAAGCCTGACTGTGTGCTTGCAAATATGATATATATTGTTCTTTTTATTAACTTATTTACAGCCAGTGTAGCATAGCAGGCTAAGCCAATAGTTGCAACCTAGGTATCCTGTGTCAGAGTACCAGTTCAGGTCGCAGCTACCCTCACGTCGATCCAGTTTCTGCTGCTGCACCTGGGAAGATGGCAGGAAATGCCTCGGTACTTCACAATGAGGCCAGGCTTTCACCTGACCCGGAAATAACAGTGCAGCACTTTGAATGCTGGCAACCTTAGATTGCTCACTGACTAATTCCAATAACTCCACATTAGATTGTATAAGCTATGACCTTTAAATAGTCGACACATGCTTCCCTAGTTTTTTTCTTTCTTTTTTTTTTTTTTTGGCGGAGGGGAGGGTTTGTTTTTTGTTTGCTTGTTTTAGATTTATTTGCTTGCTTGAAGACAGAAAGCTGTCATCACTTGTTTACCCCCCAGAAAGCTGCAATGCCTGAGCCAGGAACTCCGTATGTATCTGTCTTGTGAGTGCCAGGGGCCCAAGCACTGGGGTCATCTCGTGCTGCTGCCCCAGGAGCGTTAGCAGGATTGGAAGTGGAGATGCCAGGACTCAAACTGCTGGTCAGTGCTTACAGAATGCCAGTTTGCAGATAGTGGCTTAACCTACTGCACCACAATGCTGGCCCCTAGGAGCCTTTCCCTTGCTGAACTGCCATTTATTGTCTGTTTCCCTGTAGGTGGTCACAACGTCACCATCTCCTTACAGTCCAGGACTGGGCACACTCACATGCCTTCTGTGGTTGGCGTCCTGGTCTTCACCCAGTTCTGGTTCTGGTTTCCTCTGTCACATTTCCTGTCACTGGCTTATACCCCTACCTGTGTCATCGGCCTTAATAAGGACTTAAAGGTATGTTGATGAGACTTCCGTTTTCTTGTCTGTCCTCTTTATATTCACCATTCACTCAAAGAATCTGTTGGAAATTTCAGAGATAAATTAGTATCTCATCAATAGCGTATTTTTCCTTTCCGGGTGAATCATCACCTTGAGGAGTGTGTCAGTGGGAGAACTGAAAATCAAGTCCCTTAGTTAGCTGTTTGATGTGGGCAAGTCAGTTCAGAGGGAATTTGATAAAAGAAGGAAGAAACTTCATGGACCATTCCATTGAGTTGTATCTAAAATTAGAGGCTGTAGGGACTCTTTAAGGACTTCAAACAGATGTATGACATGAGATTTACATTTTAGAAAGTAGCAGGGCCTGGTGAGGTAGCCTAGCAGCTGGAGTCCTCACCTCACACACACCAGGATCCCATATCAGCACCGGTTCTAGTGCTGGTGGCCCTGCTTCCCATCAGCTTCCTGATTGTGGCCTGGGAACACGGTCAAGGATGGCGCAAGTCCTTTGAACCCTGCATCCACGTGGGTGATCTGGAAGAGGCTCTGGACTCCCGGCTCCTGGCTTCAGATTGGCTCAGCTTCAGTCATTGCAGCCACCTGGGGAGTGAATCAACAGACGGAAGGTTTTCCTGTGTCTCTCCTCCTCTCTGTATATCTGACTGTTCAATAAAAATTAATCCAGCAGCAGGAGATGGTCCAAACACTTGGGCCCTTGTGCACATGTGTGAGGCCTGGAGGAAGCTCCTGATTCCTGGCTCTAGCCTTGGACCAGCTTTGGCCATTGAGTCCATTTGGCTAGTGAAGAAAAGATCAGATGAAGGTTTGGGGGAGATGCATGTTTCAGAGCTCTAGGGTGCTAAAGTGGCTCGTGTCGGAGTGAATTGTTACCCATTGGTAGAGGTGACCCGTAAAGCCAGCAGTGAGAAAACAGGACAGAGCAAAGCGGGTCTTGTCGGCCACAGCCTTACTGTGGTGAATGACCTAACATCACACTGTTAATTGTTGCTTGCTCTAATCAAGTTTGTGTTGAAGTCTTCTCAGTCCTGTGGCCTGGTTTTTCATCATCTTGTGTTTTGAAGTTCAGAAGGCCTGACCTCTCAATAACTCTTAAACCATCTCCCATTGAGGCAGATGGGTTCAACAGGAAAGTTTAAACTGGCCAGTGAGTAATGTGAAGCTGACCCCCCGTTGGGCTCATGGTTCTCCTATAGGACATTATCAGATGATGTAGAAATTGTCTGTGGATTTATGTAAGTTGTTAGTGTGCAACTGGAGAAGACATGGAAGTTTGATGTGCAGAAAAAATAGTGTCAGTTGATCTGATTCCCATGTCACACGTAGGACTTAAATCATTGTAGCAGGTTGGATTATCAGGAAAGAATATTAAAAGAAAGTGAGTATGTGGCCCAGCCAGGTCAGCTGCCGCCTGGTGACGCCAGTAGCCCAAGCAGGCGCCAGGTTATGTGCTGGTTCCTCACTTCCAGCCTGGCTCCCTACTAATGGGAAAAGTGGCAGAAGAAAGTCAAGTGTTAGGTCCTCTGCCAGCCACATGGAAGGCCAAGAAAAAACTCTTGGTTCTGTACTTAAGCCTAGTCATTGCATCCATCTGGGAACCTCAACAGTGGGTAGAAGATCTCGTTCTCCCTCTCTGTAATTCTTTCAGATAAATTATTAAAAAAAAAAAAAAAAAAAAAAACATTGTGGGAGGGTGTTGCCATTGTGACCTAACAGGTTAATCTGCCACAGTTTGAGTCCCAGCTGCTCCACTTTTGATCCAGCTCCCTGCTAGTGGCCAGGGAAAGCAGGGAAAGATGGCCAAAGCCTGTGAGCTCCTGCACTCAAATAGGGAATCCAGAAGAAGCACCTGGCTCTGGCTGCAGCCTGGCCCTGCGCTGACCATTACAGCCAGTTGAGAAGTGAGCCAGAGGATGGGAAGTCCATCTCTCCCTCTGTCTTTGCCTCTCTGTAGCTGTGCCTTACAAATAAATAATACTACATCTTTAAAAAGGGGTCGGGGGAGTAAAATAAGGCCTTTTCAAAGACACAGAACTTCAGGAAAGCATAGACGACAGCAAGTAGCTCTTTGTAAAGCACCCAAAAACTAGTAAAGTAGAAGGCAGTGCCTTTCAGTGACCATACTGAGTGGATCTGTGACTAAACGTCTAGCCTGCGGAAAACTTCCAGCTTCCCCGTCTGTGTGTGTGCTTGTTGAGAGCATATATTAAAATATTCATGTTGGTTCTCTTAATGAAAGCATAAAATTGATTTCTCCAGATGCCCAAAGTTCAGTACAAATCCAACTGTAAGCCGTCTACGTTTGCGTATCCTGCTCCTCTGGAAGTCCCAAAGGAAAAAGAGAAGGAGAAGGTGAGTTCTCGAGCCGCAGTTACACCTGCATGCAGGAGCTACTCCGGCTTTTCCTTGGAAGGGTTCCAGTAACGCTTGTCAGGATGAAACGCAGCATTAAGCAAGAGGACAAATGTAACAATAATGTTAAGTAAAACCCCTTTTTCTCTCTTGATCATCCAAGTTCCATGTCCCAAAACTCACATCTTGTTCATCTGCAGGCTGTCTTCGTGCGCTTTAGTCTATGTGTGCTGCTGGTGGAACTGTTTTCCACATGCTGCCCTGCATCTTGTTGTTTTCGGCTTATTATCAGTTCTTCGTTTGCTTTCTATTTAAAGCTATTTCTGACTTGTCAATTCCAGAATGAGAGCCTTGTGTGAACCTGCCTGAAGGTCGAGCTTTCAGATATGAAGGGCCTGGATGATGAGGAATGCCCAGGAGTGCCTGTTTAGCCCAGCACTTAAGCCACATCCCATTTCAGGGTGCCTCGATCGAGTCCCAGCTCTACTCCCCGTTCCAGGTTCCCGCTGTTGCACACCCTGGGAGGCAGGCGGTGATGACTGAAATCTTTGGGTCCCTGCCACCCGTATGGGACACCATACTTGAATTCCCAGTTTCTGGCTTTTTCTGGCTCTTGCCTGTCCCAGCCTACCCTGTTGCCAGTAGGTGGAGAATGAGCCAGAATGTGGTAGCTCCCAGTGGCTCTTACTCTCATTCTCTCTTTCTCTCACTGCCTCTCAAATAAATAAGTTTTAAAAGTAATACCCATTATTTTCATAGGTATTAATTTGCCTTTCAGAATATATATAACTGATTGATAGTTCCACTAATTGATAGTTAACACAGAGCTCGTTGATAGGAGATAAATCAAAGGCTAACACATTACAGAGCTACACTTGCTGGCGAGTCACACCTTACTCAGTAGGTTATCATTTCATGGCAACTTATGTGTAAGAAAGAGGTGGAACCAGCATTGTTGCGGAGCGAGTTGAGCTGCCACCTGCAATACCAGCATCCCGTGTGGATACCGGTTCAAGTCCTAGCTGCTACTCATTTCTGATCCAGCTCCCTACCATGCCTAGGAAAGCAGCAGAGAATGCCCGGTCCCCTGCACCCATACGGAAGACCGGAAATACATCTTTCTTTAAAAAGGAAAATAGTTCTCTTAGGATAATGTTTTATATTTTCAAGTTATTGGTTACTTGCTCTTAAGTTTCTGTGTAAGAAGTGATAATTATACAATTAATCAGATTTGATGAACATCTTGCCAAAAACATCTTGTTTCCTCAGCTGTGCTTTGGGACCTCCCTTTTGGATTAAAAACAAGCTCAGCCTGTATGACAGTATTGCCTGGTTTTTCTGTCCTTGCTGCAGCTTTGGTGTCCCTGAGAGGCACTGCAGAAGCTGTAGCTGGGCTAACCACTCAGCCTTCATGTGTAGTGCCTGCAGGGCGCGCGCATGTGCGCGCGCACACACACACACACACACACACACCACCACCACCACCCACCCATGAGAGCATATCCAGGAGCACTGGAGGGACGGTTGTGTGCCCTGGTGCTTTCCCTAGAAGACAACCAATACTGTACGCTCAGAGTGCATGATAAAGAATATGCCATCGACCCGGCAGTTACAACACCTGCATCCCACATTGCACTACCTGGGTTTGGTACTCAGCTGTGGCTCTTAATCCCAGCCACCTGGAAATGCAGGTTTTTCGAGGCAGTATCAATGGCTCAAATAATTAGGTTCCAGCCACTTGCCTGAGTTCTCGCCACAGTCAGTACTGGCATCTTGGGAACGAAGCCGTGGGTGAATGCGCTCTTTGTCCCTCTGTCATTGCTTCCCTATAGCTCTGCTTCTCAAACAATGTTTCTAACTTTTAAAAAGCAGATAATAGCAAATTTCTACCCAGGGTAGGCTACAGATTAAAAAAAAAAAACCTCAAATTCTATTGGACACAGGGCTCCGGAAGCTGAAGATTGTCCTGATGATGATAGTAAATTCTGTAAACAAATGCCCTGCTACCTTTTGCCATTTGTGATGTATTTCTTTTGTCTGTAATGCTTATTGCCACACATTGAAGATTATCATGGGACTGCATTCTCTTTAGGCTTTTGCATCCATGTGTTGGTAAGGGATTATAACAACCTTGTTCACTTCCTCTAGGTTTCTACTGCTGTGTTATCGATTACTGCCAAGGCTAAGAAGAAAGAAAAAGAAAAAGAAAAAAAGGAGGAGGAAAAAATGGAAGTGGTAGGTGTAACTTGGTCGTTACATGGGTTGATAAGAGCTGCGTTTCATGGTCCAAATTGTCCCTTAATTATTATCATGCCTTGCAGTTGCCTTCCTTCAAATAATTGTCCTGTTTCCAGCATGTAGATACATATCACTTTACTTGAAAGAAACTCTAGAAGCTGCATCCCTTTGTGGGAAGAATAAAAGATAACACACTAAGCATGAGTTCCTAGAGCATACTCCAGCTAAATTGACCTTGAGGAGGAGTCAGGTTTTCTGCAGAGAGGGGAAAGATGGGAGAGAGAAAGGCCTTTCCAGCGAAAACATTCCAACAGAATCTGTCTTCTGACCTCTGCTGGTAGAGAAACTTTCTGATCCTTTAAATCCAAGTCAGCTCCCAGCCGCCAAGCAGTACTCTGTCCCTCCTCTGAGCTGTACCTCCCCTCTGCCTACTGTTTTCCTTTCGCACATAATGGTTACTAAGTGCACTTACCAAATATTAATTCTAGGTTTTGGAACAGAAATGTACCCTTGTTGAACTTTGTTTTCTCTCCTTTTTTAATTTTCTAGGATGAGGCAGAGAAAAAGGAAGAAAAAGAAAAGAAAAAAGAACCTGAACCAAACTTCCAGCTCTTGGATAACCCAGCCCGGGTTATGCCTGCCCAGCTTAAGGTCCTCACCATGCCAGAGACCTGCCGCTACCAGCCCTTCAAACCAGTAAGCGACCAGTGGCTCTTGGCTGGAGGGCAATGGAATATCAGTGGAGAATGGGAAATCCCCAGAAGCTGGGGGTCAGACTTGCTGGTGCTGAATCTGTTAGCAACTTAGAGATTTTTTTTTTTTAAGATTTTTTTTTTTCTTGGAAAGGCAGATATACAGAGAGGAGGCGAGACAGAGTGGAAGATCTTTCATCCGCTGATTCACTCCCCAAGTGGCCGCAACGGCTGGAGCTGTGCTGATCTGAAGCCAGGAACCTTTTCTGGGTCTCCCACACAGGTGCAGGATCCCAAGGCTTTCCTGGGCCACAGAGAGCTGGATGGGAAGTGGGGCTGCCGGGATTAGAATCGGCACCCATATGGGATTCTGGCATGTGCAAGACAAGAACTTTAGCCACTAGGCTACTGCACCTACATTAGAGAGGCCTACATTAGAGAACTTTGTCACCTAATTTTTCATGTAGATTTGGAGGAGCTTTTTTTCTTCTTCTTTAAGATTTATCTATTTACTTTAAGTCAGAGTTACAGAGAAGAAAATAGAGATCCTGTGACCTTAAGCCAGGTACTAAACCTCTCCCTGCCTCAGTTTCTTCTCCTGTGAAATAGAAATTATCCCTAACTCAGAGATGTGGCACAGATAAATAAGTCCCTGTACACGCACTGAGAGGACCTGACAGCACTCGATAAGTGATTGTCGTCGTCATAATTAGCACTGCTCTAAGAAATGAATTTTAAAAGCAGGAAGGATCTTATTTCAGGGTAGCATACTTCATGGCCTCAAGAGCTGGGGCTGGGTCGGACCAAAGCTGGGAGCCAGGAACTTCCTCCTGGTTGCACACATGGGTGGACAGGGACCCTGGTGCTTGGGCCATGATCCATTGCCCTCGCACTGCACAAGCAGCTTGCTGAATTGCAAGTGGAGCCCCTGGGGTTCAAACCAGTGCTCTAATGAGGTGGTGCGGACCCCATTAGAGCTTTCTACTCAACTTTCTCAGACATAAACTGTCACTGCAGTGGAGCTTTATCGAGCTGTAAGCAGCTCCTTCCACTGGTCACATTGCAAGATTCAAGCTAGATTTCCTCTACTCCAGTTTAGCATGTTATACTTAACTGTTGGCCATAACCTGGAGCTACATGTTTCCAAAAAGGACATTGTCTTCTGTTTGGTAGAAAAGCCGTCTCCACTTGGAGTCAAGTAAACTTCAAGGGCCGTGGAGAATTAGAGTTAGTACAAATGTCATCTACTTTGATTGTTCTTGGAATAAGTAAATTAATTGTAAAGGTAGAGTCTGTTCATAAAATGTATCTTTGAGAAAAGCGGATTTTTTAAGAGGGAGAATTGGGGTAACTGTGTATGGATGTGTATGTGTTGGGAGAAGGGAAGTGGTTCAGAAGTCGGCGAACACACACCAGGGTTAGAGTTGGCAGGCACGGTCCAAGGGGGAGAAATCGCATTAGGTCGAACTGCAGAGGCGTGTACGTGTGTAAGCCATCTGACTGATGGCCGGGCTCTGCCCTCCCCAGTAATGGGCTTTGGGAGAAATTGGCTTTCTGCAGACGTGCGCCGCCTCTGCTGGCTGATTGGATTAGCAAGGGCTGCTTTCTGTTTCCTTTGACACGCAAGCACAGAGAATGAGGTTAGCGCTGCAGAGACAGGCGAATAGCCCGGGCTTTGAGTTTGCCCTCTGCTGACATGTTTGAGAGAGAGCATAATGGGATTGTTGATGCCGTTTGTTCTCATTTTGTTTATCGTCTGTTTTTTCATTGGTTTAACTCATAAGTATTTTTCAATTAAAGTGAAAACACTTTGATCTTTGTGATATTTTAAGTTATTCTCTGCATTGTTCTAAGATTGCTCTAGAAAAAAAATGGCTTTTATTTGAAGATTCTAATGACTCCTAATGATGGTCATCTCACAAATATTTAGTTTCTTTTAAATTTATTTTCATTCTATTTGGGGGAAAAAAAGAGATTTAAAGACCCTCCAGCCTCTGATTCAACCAATATGCCCTCAACCAGGGAAAGGTCAGCCCTCCAGCCAGGGCCAGGAGCTCCATTTTGCCTCCCACAGGGTGGCAGACACTCAAATACTCGAATCCCCACCTGCTACCTTCTAGACTTGCATTAGCAGAAAATTGGATCCGAAGTGGAGAAGTGGGGGCTCAAGTCAGCCGATGCACCATGGGATGGATGCAGGGGTCCCACACAGTGACATGGCCACTAAGCCAAGTGCCTGTCCTGTTTTCCGCATTTGTAGCTAGCGCCCAAGTTTATCTCCTAGCTTATGCTCCTAGCTCAGGAATAAGCATAGAATAGCCATGTTCTCCCCACAGTCACACTGAGGCTGTGAGTCACCACCATGGCTGGGAAGTCATATCCTTAAATCAAGCTAGTCAGGGCTCACTTGGTGCCAGAGAGGCTGAGCTGCTGGAGATGGCCACATTTCCTGGTAGAGTCTGGCAGTTCCACTCTCAATCCTGCTTAGTGCCAGTACTCCCTGTGAGTCAGCTGGTGATGGCTCAGGCCCAGCCCTGGCTGTCAGGAGACATCTAGGGAGTGAACCAATGGATGGAGGATGTGTGTGTGTGTTTGTGTGTGTGTGTGGCAAGTGAATGAAGATAAACATGTTTTTTTTTTTAAGATTTATTTTTATTACAAAGTTGGATATACAGAGAAGAGAAGAGATAGAGAGGAAGATCTTCTGTCCGATAATTCACTCCCCTAGTGACCACAATGATCGGTGCTGCACCGATCCGAAGCTGGGAACGAGGAACCTCTTCCAGGTCTCCCACGTGGGTGCAGGGTCCCAAAGCCTTGGTCTATCCTCGACTGCTTCCCCAGGCCACAAACAGGGAGCTGGATAGGAAGTGGAGCTGCCGGGACTAGAACCGGCGCCCCTATGGGATCCTGGTACGTTCGAGGCAAGGACTTAAGCCGCTAGGCCACAGCGCCGGGCCTTAAACATCTTTTTTTAAGATGAGATTATCATCTAAATAGGGCAGCATCGCGTTACTCCAGCCACAGCTGCTGGTCCATTTGCAGCTGCCCCTCTCAGATCACAGTTATCTTTCTACTGGTGCAGCATCTGTATCTTTGGGCCTCCGTTTTTTGCTTCATGGAGTTTTGCCATGTAAGTGTGCAGTGCAGTAGAGTTACACCTCTGCCTTGGTGTTTGCAGCTCTCCATCGGAGGCATCATCATCCTGAAGGACACCAGTGAGGACACTGAGGAGCTGGTGGAACCTGTCGCAGCGCACGGCCCAAAGATCGAGGAGGAAGAGCAAGAACCAGAACCCCCAGAACCATTTGAGTATATCGATGACTAAGACCTGAGGTGTGTGGGCAGCACAGTTGCCTAAGGGGAGCTCTGTCCGGCTGTCACAGCTGCTTTCTGAGAGGACCTTGGCTCATCTTTCCCCTTCTTCTTGTGCCTAATCCTCACACAGGGGATGTGGACAAATAGAATCATGATCGTATGCATTTGCATGAACTTTTTCAAGTCTCCTTGCGTATCTGTACGGTGTTAAAACGTCCCCCATTTGCTCATCTTTCTTTCTTTCTCCATCACATTGAATTCCTCTACTACAATGCTGTTCTGACTGGGTGGCCCGAGACTGTTTTCACAAGCCCCCAGGGAGATGGAGCTTACTGCAGAATGTAGATCTACTCAGTACTGCCTTCACTGAGAAAGTCTTACACACACTGGCGAGGGGCAAGGAGTTAGACCAGTTGGTTAAGATGCCCACGGCTGCCATTGGCATGCCTTGGTTCAGTGCCTGGCTCCGGCTCCGGCTCCTACCTGCAGCCTCCTGCAGGTACAGCTGGGAGGCCTGGCTGGGGGTCTAGACTCGCAGCTTTGGCCGTAGCCCAGCAATGGCTGTTGTGGGCGATTGGGGGCTAAAGCAACAGAGCGCTCTTTGTCTTACTGTCCTGCCTCTCAAAATAACTGCAGAAAAGCCTGCTGAGTTCAGTTTGCTCCCCGTGCAGTGGAGCAGCCCACTGTGGAGCTCGGCGCCAGTCCATCCTTACTTTCAGAGCAGTTTAGATTTCTCCCAGAAGCTCCCTCTTCTCCTTTTTTCAAATTTCAAGTACCACAACGGAATTGTTGGACAGAGCACTTGGTGTGTTTAAGATAGGGTGCTCATAAGGGTTTTGGGGTCAATTAGACTCTTGCACAAAGCTTTGCCCAGTCAGAAATGGTGGTTACACCAGTCTTTGTGCACTGTCAAAGCATGCTTTTAGATGGAAAACACTGGAATAATAGAATTACACTGGATAGAAAAGTCTGAATTCTGTTGACTGGCAGCGTGTATTTGAAGATATGTGTATGAACTGTCTAATCAGGATTCGCTACTCCATCATAAACATTTTTAAACAGATGCTAATTACTTTCTAAGGAAATTAGGACAGTAGTGCCTTTTTACATTAAAGATCTCATTGCAAATCCAGCGTGCTATTACACACTGGTTAGCATTCAGTAAGAACTGCATAGATATCTTAAAAGAATGTTGAGGCCAAAGTCTTTTTTTGAAAATGTGTTTATTTTTCTTGGACAGGAAGGCAGATTTACAGAGAGAAGGGAAGACAGAGAGAAAGTTCTTCCATTTGTTGGTTCACTCCCCAGATGGCCGCAATGGCCAGAGCTGAGCTGATCTGAAGGCAGGCTGAGTCTCCCATGTAGGTACAGGGTCCCAAGGCTTTGAGCCATCCTCTATTGCTTCCCAGGCCACAGGCAGGAAGCTGAATGAGAAGTGGAGCAGCCGGAACACGGAACCAGCACACATATGGGATTCTGGTGCCTGGAGGTGGATTAGCCAGTTGCACCAATGTGCCAACCTTAACCATTACTGGGAAAGTGTATTCCTGCCTCAGGGAGACTGTAGGATTGGGCCTTTGGAGAGAGGAAGACAGGCTGGCTTCCCTGCCGTTTAACCTGAGCTCTGAACATTCTTTGAGCCTTTAAGGTCTCCTAAGCATGTTAAACCAAGTGCTCATGAACACGCGGTCGCAGAGCCAAATCGATTCTCATTGGCCCTTCACAGCCTTTCTCAGAGTGACTGGAAGCCTCCAGCTCTGTCCTTCAGGACTGTGGCCTGCAAAGTGCCTTAGAGGCGTGCGGTGGGATAGTGGGTAAGATTGTCTTGGCATGAGCTAGCCTGTTAGACCGCAGGGGTAGAGTCTGGGGCTTGTTTGGAGTTCTAGTAGCTAGTCGTAAAAATGTCTTTAATTCAAAGAATGACCCTCACGTCCCCCATGGCCCTTCCCTTCCCAGGATCTCATGCGCTCACCCATGGAAGGTCGTTCAGGTCCCGTGGGACGCACCTCCGAGGAGTTCGTGCGAAGCCCGCTGCCCAATGCATGTACCGCTGCCTCGCGCCGCCCCGAAGCACCCGGCCCCACAACTTTGTTTGGAAAGAAGATATACAAGTATTTAGTGTGCTCTTTCACAGAACTCAATTTTCAAATAAATATATTAAAATCTTCAGATGGACAAGACCTTGTTTTTTGGCCTGCATTTTTAATAAGTAGATTTAATTCCCACACCATGAGATGCCTCAATCTAAAGAGCTAAATCCTTTAGTTGCTGCAAATGTGTGACTTTCATGTTGGTGGATAAGTAAAGCTTTGCTTAAACTGTAGACCCCCTAAAAATAATGAGATGCAATCAAGCCTTGCTCGTCACTGAGGAGTTGTCTGCAGTGTTTTTAACTCGACCAAAGAGAGGTACCATCGCTCACGAGAGGAAACCCTTTGGGACCCAAGGAAACGGTCTGATCAGACAGCTCAGAAGCATTTGACCACCTTGACCTGTTGTTGCCTGCCTTTGACCTTGTTAAACATAAAGAATAGAAATTGCTCCATTTCATTTAGTCACAGGAACTCCACTTTCTCTTCATCCACCTTTCGGTAGTTTTTAGAAAGTTAAGAGTGTAGGGGCAGTTGACTCTGGTCAGATGGTGGCCTCACGGGTCAGGACACTGGCACCCCTTCCCAGCTCCAGCTTCTGCTTGCAGCTTCCTGTAACGGGGCCCCCCAGAGGCACCGGGGACACCCAAGCCCTTGGGGTTCCTGCCACCCACTGGGGTAGGAGGGACAGCTGGATTCCACTCACAGCTCCTGGCATGGGCCTCAGCCATAGGGCCCTGTGGGCACTGAGGAGCAAGACAACTGAAGGAAGCGAGCACTTTCTCTCTCTTTCTCCCTCTAAAGAAAGGTCATTTAAAAATAGGGAAATACAAAACTTTAAAGTATATTGATGTACTTTGGCAGTAGAAAAAAAAATTTAAGATTTATTTATTTGGAAGGCAGAGCTACAGAGAGAACGAGATCCACTGATTCAGCTCCCAAATGGCCACAATGCCGCAGCAGGGCCAGGACATTCATCTGAGTCTCCCACGTGTGCCGAGTTCGGAGCTCGGGAATGGTGTATGGAGTCAGCGATGAGGAAAGGCACGGACACTGTTCCTTGGTGCCCTCTCGCAACGGCTCAAGAAGCTGTCTTTATTTACCCAGCCACATCACAAGCTTCTGCACAAACAATTAATTGTTCCATTTTTACTTCAAGACTAAGGGGGCATGTACAGACATTTGGTCACTCCGTCTGCACTTCAAGGCTAAGCAGGTGACCCTAAAGATAAGTCTGCAAAATACTGTATTCCTATTCAAAGCAAGCCGTTGTTCATTCTTTAGTAGTAGCAATGGAGCGACAGCCAGGACTCCAAGGCCAAGGCACATGCGATTAGCTGCTAGTCAGTATTACATTCCTACCACATTTCTATTTCTACAATTTACCCATCATTTAGTGGGAAAAATATGTCACAAGGAAAAAAAGAGAAAAGTTTTAAATATTAAATCCCCCTACAACTATAAGCTCTACAGCTCTACAAACAATAATTAAAAGCATATTTCCTTTTCTTTTAAAGATTTATTTAATTTTTATTGAAAAGGCAGACATACATAGAGGAGGAGAGACAGAGAGGAAGATCTTCATCCGGTGATTCACTCCCCAAGTGACCACAATGGCCAGTGCTACACCAATCCGAAGCCAGGAGCCAGGAACTTCCTCCAGGTCTCCCCCTGCGGGTGCAAGGTCCCAAGGCTTTGGCTCGTCTTCCACTGCTTTCCCAGGCCATAAACAGGAAGCTGGATGGGAAGTAGAGCAGCCGAGATTAGAACCTGCACCCATATGGGATCCCGGCGTGTTCAAGGACAGGACTTTAGCCACTAGGCCATGGCACGGGACCCAAAAGCGTATTTCTTCAATGAAAACATCCCTAATTCCTCTAGCCAAAAATTATAAAAGCAGCTAAAACAGCTACATTTCCTGTGCTCAGAAGAGATTGCAAAGACAGGCTAGTCTTTAAGGTCACAGTAACTATCACCATAGCAGTTTCAGCTCTCGCTCCCATCACTTTCATTAATATTTAGGATATTTATCAAGCCCTTCCTGGAAGGTGTGCTACATGTCTGGGCCAGATTCTGAGGCGAAGGTTAGGCACACAATAAGGTGTCTAGAAATGTCATGGGCTTACTTGTGCTCCTGTGTGTAAATTGTTAAAGGCCACTCACCAAGCCATCGGCGACATTAACTGCCAAGCTCACATCGGTTGCAAAAACCATTCCACGCGGACAAACAACAATGCCTCAATAGATTACAAAATTCTTAGTGAGGTGGTTGAGTGTCCATGCAAAAGGGGGTGAGACTGCGTCAAGGTGTTCGGAGAGACATCCACTGGGCCTTGCCAAACAGCTGGAAGCTCCTCTGGGCCTTGCCAAATAAGGGGAGCTGTTCTCTTCACACCTTTGTGTCATCCACACCCACTGCATGGACACCAGTACACATGGGCACAGGAAGCCAAGCACCTGGACCACCTGCTCTCCCAGGCAAAATGGAACAGCCAGGACTTGAACCTGTGCCCATATGGGATTCCGTCATCGCAGGCAGTGACTTAATTCACCACACCACAACGCTGCCCCCATTGACAGAAATATTTTGACCGTGAAATTCTCTGTTGGTTCCTAGATCTGTGCTTAGAGAACAAGTTGGGTTGTGAGCCTGCCAACGCTTCCATCCTTGTTTGTCCTGCCAGATGAACTGAGTCCGATTGACTAGGATGATGTAAAATGAGTCAAAGCTCATCTCAAGGCTTTGTGTCGTGGTTTTGGTCTCCAAGCGTGTAAGAAAAGTCGGTCGCTTTCAAACATGGCTGTACTCTATGCTACCTTGATTGTTTTCACTTCTAAATTTAGAATGTAGCCTCTGTGTCTGGCAAACCAATATCCACGCAGATCAGTCCTAATACCTTCATTAACCACAGCCATGTTAGGCCCCGGTCTGAAGTTTGCAGATCTCAAAGGATGGCTCCACTCACTGGTTAATTTCATTGTACCTCCTCTCCACTGTAAATCCCTTGTTTCCTCAATATCAGATGATTCTGTAAAAGCGATTATCTCATTTCCTAGCCTCTCATTAGCTATGTCCTTCCTGTTCAAGCTCATAACACTCCCTGTATTTGAGATGGTTAATCTCTTACATTTCCCTTACAGATGGAATGTTTAAAACATAGACGTCTCACTGATGTCAGTGCCCAAAACTGAGCAGGCCTGGGGGAGAAGGGGTCTCTTCCCTGGCCATCTGCCAGATGGACTGCATCCGCTCCAAAAGGGACGATGAACTTCAGGCTGAGGTCCGGTCAGTGTGTTAGGCAGTGTGGGTCAGCTGTCCGATCAGTGCGTTAGGCGGTGAGGGTCAGCGGTCTGGTCAGTGTGTTAGGCGGTGCAGGTCAGCGGTCTGGTCAGTGTGTTAGGCAGTGCAGGTCAGCAGACCGGTCAGTGCATTAGGCGGTGAGGGTCAGCGGTCTGGTCAGTGCGTTAGGCGGTGAGGGTCAGTGGTCTAGTCAGTGCGTTAGGCGGTGCAGGTCAGCAGACCGGTCAGTGCGTTAGGCGGTGCGGGTCAGCGGTCTGGTCAGTGCGTTAGGTGGTGCGGGTCAGCGGTCTGGTCAGTGCGTTAGGCGGTGCGGGTCAGCGGTCTGGTCAGTGCGTTAGGCGGTGCGGGTCAGCGGTCCGGTCAGTGCGTTAGGCGGTGCGGGTCAGCGGTCCGGTCAGTGCGTTAGGCGGTGAGGGTCAGCGGTCCGGTCAGTGCGTTAGGCGGTGCGGGTCAGCGGTCTGGTCAGTGCGTTAGGCGGTGCGGGTCAGCGGTCTGGTCAGTGCGTTAGGCGGTGAGGGTCAGTGGTCTAGTCAGTGTGTTAGGCGGTGCAGGTCAGCAGACCGGTCAGTGCGTTAGGCGGTGAGGGTCAGCGGTCCGGTCAGTGCGTTAGGTGGTGTGGGTCAGCGGTCTGGTCAGTGTGTTAGGCGGTGCAGGTCAGCGGTCCGGTCAGTGCGTTAGGCGGTGCGGGTCAGCGGTCTGGTCAGTGCGTTAGGTGGTGCGGGTCAGCAGACCGGTCAGTGCGTTAGGCGGTGAGGGTCAGCAGACCGGTCAGTGTGTTAGGCGGTGCGGGTCAGCGGTCTGGTCAGTGTGTTAGGCAGTGAGGGTCAGCGGTCTGGTCAGTGCGTTAGGCGGTGAGGGTCAGCAGACCAGTCAGTGCGTTAGGCGGTGCGGGTCAGCGGTCTGGTCAGTGCGTTAGGTGGTGCGGGTCAGCGGTCTGGTCAGTGCGTTAGGCGGTGCGGGTCAGCGGTCTGGTCAGTGCGTTAGGCGGTGCGGGTCAGCGGTCTGGTCAGTGCGTTAGGCGGTGCGGGTCAGCGGTCTGGTCAGTGCGTTAGGCGGTGAGGGTCAGCGGTCTGGTCAGTGCGTTAGGTGGTGCGGGTCAGCAGACCGGTCAGTGCGTTAGGCGGTGAGGGTCAGCAGACCGGTCAGTGCGTTAGGCGGTGCGGGTCAGCGGTCTGGTCAGTGCGTTAGGTGGTGCGGGTCAGCGGTCTGGTCAGTGCGTTAGGCGGTGCAGGTTTGCAGTCCAGTCAGTGCACTTGGCAGTGCGGGTCAGTGGTCCGGTCAGTGCATTAGGTGGTGCTGGTCAGAATTTTAATCCTGGGGAGCTTACAACTGCAAGCAGTGTGAGCTCGAAAATCAGACACCGCTTGATTCAGATCCTGGCCCTATTTCTCCCAGAAGATTTCCTAGAAATCAGCCTCATACTGAGAAATAACCAAGGAGCAAGGACATCAGGACGGAATAGAAGAGCGTGGGGAAGGGCAGCACCTGGTCCTGGGGCTGACCCGGCAGGGCACATCCCACGGTGAAGGCAGGTGGGGTGAGCAGCAGGGAGGGCCCGCTCGGTTCTGAGCTTGGGCCTGACTCCTGGGATCCAGATGCTGCTGCCAGCCTGCGCCTTCTTGAGGCAGCCTCCATGACCTGTGTTAGCTTGCCTTCTGCCTTGGCCTCCCCTCCGTTGGACAAATTGAGTATGTGAGCTTCTCTTACTGTGGAATCCGCTTTTCCTTTAGGTAACCTCATCTGTACCATGCCTGTGCTCACCAGCTTTGTGCTTAAAAATTCCAAAT